TATTGTGAAAATTGTTTTATAAACGATTATAACTAAAAAATTCACCAAGTAATTTTAGAAAAAAAATCGCGACGATTATTTTGATTCCAAAGCGCATTCGTAAAGCACAGCATGAAGGATTTAAGACGCCAACAGACGGAGGCGGCGCGTGTTGAAGTTGAGCTTTGGTCGTAAAAGCTGCGCACCCCCGTTGCTTTTATTAGCCACTAAACCGTACACCTGATGTCACCCGGTCCACTTCGTTCTCCCCATTTACAAGTCGGGAAAACTATCGCGACTCCGCTCTGTATAGATGATACCTTTCAAAAGGGGACGGCAAAAAAACATGAAAGGGCGCGACTTTCAACGACCACTCGTCCCATAGATGGGTCTGCAAAATTCATTATGCCTTCGTTTCAGAATGGTTTCAGTAACGAGTAGTCAACACCGAATGATATCGAAACGAGAAAGAGCGAGTGATATTTAGAAAGAAGATATAAGGTAGATGTAATGAATGTTACATAGAAATAATATTCTACCAGGTGTACAATGCCCAAAAAATATTTCCTATACCTACATCTAACATCCCAGACTTCCTGATATATTCTTCTTGTTGGGACAAGTTCAAGACTGTAGAACGAGTTTTTTAAGCCTGTGTTATGATTGCAAGAGAGAAGACGACGTTTTCGTGGACAGAAAGGTATCATTTCAATCGAGCATCTGAAGCCTACCTATATAATGACGAAGAAGTCCTAGAACCTCAACAATTCTAACAATAAGATGATACATAAAAACAACTATTCATTAGTACTTTAACAATAAAATGTTAAATAAGATTATTTATGTGACACGTAAACAACAATGTTTGTTGGGTTGCGTCCTAAACTTAGTCATGTATTGTAGATTTCTTTTCATAATATCGTAAATAGAAATGTTATCTTAACGCTGAGTAATCGTATATCAATTAATAACTTTATAGTATATCTAACGAATGATCTCTGATAACAATAATTGTAAATCGATAATGTAAATAAAAGTTAAAATTGTAAAATCAGGTAAAGTCCCGAATTAGTTACATAACCACACCTTTTGCCCTATTATGAGTGAAACATATTCCCCAAATTTCATTTTCTTGGCGTTTATGGTTTTTAAGAAAAAAAAATTAAACCAAAATTTTCCGCCATTTTTGGAGGGGGTGTAGCTCCTTGGGGAAGCCGAAGTCGCTCATGGTTCATATGTTAAAGTATCCTTAAAATTCACTAAAGAATTTAACCCTCAGTTACTCAGTTTGTTGCAGTCATTCAGATACACCCTGGATACAAAGTCTTGTATAAGAACACATTTACCCTCAAATCGCCGATATCGCTTGCGGGTGCGGCGCTAAAATCTTCCAAAGCTGACGATTTTGTGTTGATATATCAAATCAAACGTCTCCAAATATTTGATCATTCATTTTGTTGCGGTTATTTTTGGATACCTCTAACTTTAATTATTTATATTCCCCTTTTAATTAATTTATAACAATAACATTTTATTTTATATAGGTAATTATCCCATCTCTTGTTGCTCGTATTTTACTCTTAATGGCGGGACCGGAAACTTATATCAGCATTGAAGATAAAAAAACCTCACTATCTAAAGCTTTAACCATATTAGAAAACAGCTTAATATTCACGTATAAACCGTATTTAAAACAACATATTAAATTACATACTGGATTTGCCCTGCAATTTCTTCTTACTCAAGTAAGAAAAATTCATGAGTTTATTTATTATTATTTATTTGCCTTTTATTCAAGGATCTTATTACGATAAAAGGAATTCCAACAATTTGGTCATCCCTTATAACACGACTTCATTATCATGAACCTGCAAACTTGGTACTGGTCTATTTAATTAGAACGAGTGCGTTGGCAAAATTAGTGGAAAATACGAAAAACGACGTCGAACTTCAAAAGGTAATTGTGGTCATTATGGCTCACATTTTTACAAGCATACCCGTTAGAAAGGGTGACAAGTTAAAACCTTTACCTGAATGTATACAACAAGTGAGTTATTTAAGATTAGGTGCTTATTGCGTATTAAAAAATATATTGTATTTTAGGGCATAATTAATTATAACAAAGACGTTAATTTTATATACCAGCAATATTTCTTAGCTGTTGTTAGACATTCCGTTCCTACATTACAGGATGGTAACACTTTACCATTGTCAAACCTAGCATTCAATCGAAAATATTACAATTTTGCACAAAAGAGTAAAAAAACTTTTTCCTTTAGTAGCTCTTTTCAGAGAAATCAAGAACGATTGTTACAAGAGAGAATTAACATCTCCATATGCAGCTTTATCTGGAAACGATGATAACAATTTAGACAACCATCAATTAATCAGCAACATGCGTCACAATGTAAGCTTAATTAACAAATAGAGCTTTTACACGTTAATATGTTTTTGGTTGCAGTTTTGTCCAGAAATGAAAATAATTCTAGAATATAATATTCGTAATAAGTTAAACAGCTATGCGGTTGACTTCTATACTCATGGTTCAGCCATTAAAATCAATCATCAGAATAAACTAAGACACGGTAGAGATTTTGAATTATTACAAGATTTTGGTTTAGTTTTAATAGCAACTGTGGGATTTCTTGAAGATTTAGACTTGAAAGGAATGCCAAATAACAGATTATTAGCCAATTTTCGAATTGTACGGGATAAATATCACGGATTATTTCAAAAAGCTTATAATTCTTTTAAAGAATGAAACATTTAAAGAATGCATATAAATAAACATTTTTTTTATAGAAGTCTTCATTTTCTATTATTATTACCCTTATTATACTTATACTTGGCTTTCTTTTGCTCATTATGAATAAATAATTATTTTATAAATTTAAATTAATGCAATACTTCTTTCCAGCTTAATCTTTATAGGCAAATTCAAATTGTTTTACTGAAACGAAATGAGAGATATCGCATGTTAGTTCTCAAACAAACAATTATCAATCTTGCTATTACAATTTACAGTTCTTGGATATGACAGTTGCTATTTGCTTTGCTAAACGTGTCTAGCACAGTAATATATATTCACAATAATATTTCACTCACTGTTTGGCATTAAAATATATATTGTAATAAATTGGATTGGGAACCAATTTTTCTCTTCGCCAGAAGAATAATTTCTACCAGGAATGGGATCAATTGCTTTCTTTGATCAGGAACGGGTTCAATTGTTTCTCCGAAATTATTGGACAGGAACAGATTCAATTGTTTTCTTCGATGGTTGTGAACAGGAACGGATATTTTAAATACGAGACGAAATTAGTTTCTTCGATAGGAACAGGATCGATTGTTTTTTCAGTGTTGAACAAGAACGGATATTTTTTTCTTTCCACTCGTTAAGCGTTGATTTAATTTAATTTTTTTGGAGAGCAAAAAAAATGCGTGCGTCTCTTCAGACAACAGAAACCACTCTATTTGTTGTGTTTTGTTGATAACATAGAAAAATAAATATAAATATATATATATAGAAGCATTACTCCCCACTATTTTTTCGGTCAAATTGATTTCAACGCCTCTAGTGGTCTGTGGTACCTACTACTTTTAATAAAGCGCGAAATTTAAAAGTATTTTTATTCATTTAATGGTTATTAATTATTGATTTCAAACATCCACCAGTCAACATGAAAATGATAACAGTAAAGGTATCATTTTCATGTTGACTGGTGAAAATTTGAATTTTGTTTTCACTTCGTTTTGTCTGCAACAAAACGCCTGCACTTTCGACTCTTCAGAGTACCACGAGAAAAAATGAAAGGAATTTTGGCGTAATGTCATCAATAGAACAACATAGTTTTAAAGTTCCCGCTTGACTTTCAAAATGGCGGCAAACCGCGGTACTTCGTAAATCTAGGGACTTTAAGCAATTTGTGCTTACAGTGCCATCTAGCCGTCCGTGGTACCCATTAAATATCTGTCTTTTTTTATACGTATTGAGTTAACACACCGTGGTTGATAAATTGAATAAATTCCGTTTTTCGGATGTTAATTTTCAAATAACGTCTTCTGATTGGTTAAATTCATCGGTTTGAAATTTGTACTTTAGTTTTTTCAATGTAACCAACTTTGACATTTGAAATATCTCTAATTTAGTTTGTCAAATTATTATTTAAAAATTTTAAAATTATTTATAATTATGATATTTCGTAATTTTGATGCTCCTTTAAATCAATTTTCAAATATCCACTCATTTTCTTCTGATTTCAACGATAAATTTTCCAATATGTTCGAATTAATTTTGTAAATTTGCATCCAATTTTCATTATTCCATACAAATATTGATTATTTTCTTTGTTAACTAATTGTAAGTTAAGATTATCGTTCTTAATAGGTTTGAAACGGGTAGATAAAGATTTAAATAAATAATTTTGAAAAATTTAAATTAAGGTTATCTGATATCGAGAATTTTTAAAAGCTCAGTGAATCTAACCTTTTTGGATTTGGATCTAAATCGAACCGGAAATGGAAACAAGAAGCTGTAACTGATCTTGTAAGAAGGTAAACTCCATTAAGAATAGAAGGATACAAGCGGTCTACTATGTCTAAGGATATTAACAAATTTGGCAATGATATCGGTAAAAAATGATACTTTATTATATGGTGCTAATTATGTTTTGTATCACGACCGACGCCAAAGATCTATTCTCAGACCCTGTATAATTGAAAAATGACAGAGAAATTACTGGTTGAATATTATAAATTATCTATGTAAATAAAATTGTGCATGCAATATCTAAACAAGTATGTTTTATTAGTTGCGTCTTAAAGTGAAGTAGTTTTATCAACGGTTTTTATACGTATTTACATTACTAAAACGAAAATATAGAAAGATTAAAATATTATCCTCTGATAAAGTTACATAGATAATAAACACGTGTGTTGATAATGAAGCAAGTGATAATAATTTAAGAAACAGGTAAAGTCCCGAATTATTTATGTATCCTAACTTTCTACGTCCAGTGAATTTTACAGTTATCGAACAACGACAACAACGAAGCGCAATAAACGGTTGGTTATTCAGCGAGATGGACGTGAAAAAAAGTTGTGAAACCCCCAACTCTGAACAACTGAAGGAGTTGTTAAATTTGCAGGTAAATACATCATCACCTAAATTATCTTTTTAATTATTACATATTGTCATTAGGGAAGTCAATTGTACGCTTCTTCTCTGGAAAAATTTAATAAATCTTTCTATGAAGATGTAACAGCCATGATTAACAGTTCCGTTCCTACATTGATTGATGGAGATTCTCTTTTGCTTTACTGTGTTTTACGAGAGAGTCATCCGATTATCTCAGGAAATCAATTTTTACATATTACATATTTATTTGAAAGATTCTTAGATTTATTAATTCAAAAAGGAGCTACATGCATTCTCGTTTTTTTCAACTTTTGGGAATTGGTTTGGGAGAAAAATTTTGCTATGCGAACATTGAGATATGTTATTGGCAATCATTTCAAAAATAATACCAATATACCTACTTATACGTTTTTATGGTATTATAGCCCACAATTTCTTGAATTTAAATCAAGAGAAAAGCCTAGATGTATAATAACAAGTTTGGGTTTTGATGCCAATGTTAAAAGTTTTAATGAAAAGTTACAAAATGAAAGCATTTTTGCAAATGAAGAATGTGCGCAAAAATTGTTTAGCGCCAGTTTGGTTTATTGCATTGCAAATGATTTACCAATTATTGATACTCATTCTATTGATATTGGGGTTACACTAATATATGCTTTTAATGTACCACCCAAAAGATTATCGAACGAAATTTGTACAAAATTTAAGGGAGAATGCTTAAATGAATTGGATTTGTTGAAACAAATGTACTCGAAGATAATTGGGGTCTCTATAGACTTAAAATCTCCGAGGGAGTTGATTATCGAAGCAGGAGCTTTGTATCTTAAACGTTTTAATGATCAAAACAAGCTGAGATTATTGTTTCTTTATTATGCTGTGCAATTTGCTTTACCATTAGAAAATAGAACACCACCTAAGAAATTGGAGACCAACAAAGAAATCATAAAGCAACTACAAGAGTTTATAAATAATTGGCAAGAATCTTTATATAGTGTTTTATCCAATAGAACTTTAAATCAAGATAATTTTGATTATGAATTAATCTCTGATCTTTGGCAAGGAACATTATTTATGTGTGTATTACGCTTAACAACTGATTATATAGAGAACAAAACGCAACTGGGAATGTTACATACTGAATATGAAAACCTTCTAGCTGATGTGAACTTACGATTACTGGAACTTGATCAAATTAATCCTTACCCAATTGAACCAATTTTTAATACAAAATATTTAGCCGCCGATAATGAAGAAACTTCTGGTAAGATCAGTATTTTAGTTTTAACGAATCAGTTATGTGTAATGTAGTATATTAGTATTCCCACCTCTGACCAGAAAAATAATGTATACAGGTGTCCCAACAAGAGTAATAGCTGGAAATTATTTTGAAGTTCGTAATTCTACCGCTAGGAGGTATAACTGCCATAGATAAACATAAAATTCCCGCTATCTATCATTTCATGATTTTTTAAAAGATATTTATTTTTTATATCGGAATTTAAAAGAGGATTTTTTTCTGAATTATGTACAATAAATATTAATATCGGTTACATAAGAAAATTTTTTGAGAAAAATTAATTTAAAGTTTCATTATTTTCCATTAATTTGATATAGAAAATAGCAGTAGCAGTGCGTAACCATGGCAACCAATTGTTTTGATTTGACATTTCCAAGTGTCAAAACTCAATTTCAATTGAATTATTTATTTAAATTAATTATTACTATTGTACTTGAGATACAAAAGTAGCAATAGCTTGTTGCATCAAACGCATCAAAAAAAACGCAAACAGAAAGTAAGATATCAAAAAAATTTTTTTTTAATTTTAAATTTACAAAAGTAACATATGTATAAGATAGAAAACAATAATATCATTAACCTGGTGCAAAATAGTTTTGCGGGGCCTTTATGTAGGTAAATAGCTCTCGACTCTTCTTTTTCATAAACTACCTACCATCATAGTTCTTTCCCACCTCCATCACTATATCTCTACCATTAAAAAATAAACATTGTAATGTGCCTTATCTCAGTTAAAAAAGAACAGCTAAATATTTTGTCATTAATTTTTTTTTATTCTTATTAATACTAAACTAAAACAAATTTAAATCCGCGGAAAAGTATTGCTTTAACAATAATATTCTTACACTACTTAAACTTAATTTTTCTTGCTTTTAATCCAGCGAAGTCGTCAATAATTTCTTGTCAAATTGACTTTGGCCATGGTGTCTGCTTCTATCGATAATGTTGCCAAAGACGTTAACCTTTCTTGGCTCATTGATGATCTTAGGTAAGTCTTTATTAACTTTAGCCGAGAAAAACTCCTTTCTGCGCTAGCAACAGTCACTGCAATAGTAAGTAAAGTTCTGTAGGCAATGAACGTGTTGGGATATGGATTTTGTATTCTGTTCATAAATCTTAACACACCAGCAGCTGTTTCAACTTCAGCGGGTAGTGGGCCACGAAGAAATTTTAGTTCTGTGAACAAATCATTTCCACAGATATCCTTTTGCCCTTCAAAACTTAAAGAGGCTTCTAGGGCTTTGCGCTTTTCCAACAATTGACCTTGTTCAATTGATTTTAATTCTTTTACACTGTACAAGAATCCAAACATACTGTTGTAACTGGCAATTTGTTGAAATCTTCTTGAAAGGGACTGTAATATACAATCTACAATATAATAAAAATACTCAACCTTGAACATTTGTTCAGCAGATTCTAAAACATGCTCATCTTCTTCTTCGTAATCAAACATTTTTCGTTTCTTCCTTTGCTTGACTATTTGAAACTTTGGCTCTATGTCCAAAAGTTCATTTCTAAATTGCTCAAAAAACTGTACCAGTCCTTGAAGCAACTGCGATGTCATACCTAAATACATTTTTTCAGCCTGCAACTATTTATAGCAAAGAGCACGTCATACCAAATAGCTAATGCTACTAAAAACTCATAACTCCTTAGTTCATTGACAAGGGATTGAGCTTCACTTTTTGCTTTAGGGTCGTCAGTCGCTTCTACTACTTTTTCTAAAGCATTGTGTACTTCCTTAATCTGTTAACGAAGTGCTCAAGTGAACGCTTCAGCTAAACGTATCTCACAATCCGTCCACTTTCCAACATTCTGACCATGAATTGCTGATTTTTCGTGATTATCAAGAACTCTGCCCAAGTGTGCTCAATCACTATACCCATCGTTAGCTAATTGAGATCCAGTGTCATTTCCATACAATTTGCAGCAAAAACAAAATGCTTTATCAGTACTTTTGCTGTAAACTAGCCAACGTCTGTACACTTGTTCTAAATTATTCATAGTTCGTTTGTAAAAATTGGCAGGAAAAAGTCTTTTTTCTGCATTTTTCAGAAAATTAAAATTGTTTGTCTTTGTTCGCACCACCGACGCCTTATTCTAAGAACATTTTATTGTGAAAAGGCCCCTCACCGCGGGGCCTGGAGCAGCCGCTCCACTCGCTCCACCCTAAGGACGGGCCTGCGTTAGCGGCAAGACAATATCTAAATCGGGAGACAAACGCTTCTTGACCGTTTTGAATCATATCCGGGCTGATTAATTGAATTTCTTCTCTAATTTTTTGCTTCAGATCTTCTAGGTTATCAGGCTTAGGGCCGGTTGTACAATATACCGATAAATCTGTCTGACAAGTATCCTGCTGATAAACTTATCGGGAAAACTTATCTTTCAGTTTCATTAAGCGTCATTATCGAACAGCCAATAATTAAAAAATAACCAATTATAGATAAACAATAAGATCAAATAACAACAACACAATAACAACGAATGGCGATGAATCGCAATAAATAGCAACAAATAACAACGAATAACAATGATTAACAACAATTAACACAAGAAACTCCACAATATTACACAAAATAATCTCATTAACGCACAATAAACTGTTTCAAATCGAATTTTGACACTTGGAAATTTGAAATCAAAACAATTGGTTGCCATGGTTACGCACGGCTACTACCATTTTTTATATCAAATGAATGGGAAATAATGAAACTTTAAATTAATTTTTCTCGAAAATTTTCTTATGTAACCGATATTAATATTTATTATATTATAATAAAAATGGAGTGTTTCATTTAAAAAAAGCTTCGATGGCGTCATAATTCGTTTAAAAATGTCGGAAAAAATATTTATATATTTAAAATATACACCAAAAAATTGCAACAAATTTAAATCTTTAGACCCGTTTCAGCGATTTTTTCATAAATTGTTTATAATAATTCTGTATAGGGTGGTAAAGAACTGAATTACTGTTTCTACATATTCAATGGCTGGAAAGTAGGAAATTTTAAATGGAAAGCCTCATGTTTCTTTATCCTATTAGAAAGGGAATTTAATTCTCTACAAATTATCTACAAACGTTCCTATACCTATTTATTGTAGTTTGCTTCATATTGGGAAATTTATTAAAACATGCACGAAATGCAGGTTTTTTTTTATTAGAAAGCCATGGAATTTTGACAGTTTTTGGTCCATGTTTGTATTATTGTTGTCATTAGTTACATTTGACGACGGGTGTAAGTCATTCAACACCATGGCAGATTAACGTCCACCACAAAGAAAAAATTCCAAAAAATTGATAAAGAGATTTCTTAGTTGTGGACATATTGAGACGAAATAACCGTCACCAATTTTATGGTATGTTATGCATTTCTAAATTAGATGTAATAACAAATTTATATTATAAATTTATATTTTTATCCAAATCTAATTTTTGTCATTAATTTTTTGTTTTAATTGTTTCATTTATTTGATCTTCTGTTTGTTATTTTTGGTAAATAAAAGCTAGTAAACTAAAAGATTATTAATCGCAGTACAAATAATAATAGAAACAAATTAAACGAAAAACTGTCAAAATATCATGGCCTTCTAATAAAAATACAAACGGTAGGAAATGCAGGAATTTCCTACATGTTTTGATAAATTTCCCAATATGGAAGAAACTACAATAAATAGGTATAGGGCTGTTTATAGATAAATGGCAAATAAGATCCATTCAAAATTTTCGACTTTCTTGCGATTGAATATGGAAAAACGGTAATTCAATTTTTGACCACCTGTATAAGATACTCTGATACAACAAGTGATAATCTATTTGGCAGCATCTGAAGAGTAATCGTGCCAATTTAGAGCATTTTTGAAAGAACGTTGGCTGGGATATGGGGTTTTAAAGAGTTCCAAATGAACAACCCATACTACCAAAATTTCAAAACTATACGTGGAATATACGTGAGACACCTGTATATTCTTTTTATATTTTAGCAATGATCAAATTATGTAAAGTAGATAATCCATTAATAAATAAATTTTGTGATAACATGTTTGAAGAAATATTTTGGGAAAACCCAGCAAAATTTTTTGATATTAAGCGACATAAAGAAACAAGACATTGGCATGTTAGAAAACCACTCGACGAAACCAATATAAAAGTTACACCGCAACATCTTACAACTAAGCAAGAACACAAAGAGTGAGTAAAAAGATGTTTTTGTTATTCAATATTATTTAATGTTTATTTACCAGCTACCAAAAGGCGTTTCGTTTCTCACATATCTACGGTCAGAATTTAGAAGGGAAAATGACTCAATACAAGAGCTTAATTTATCAAGATCCAAAGAAAAAAGGAAACACAACTCTAAAAAAACAAAGTGGAAGTTCGAAAAAGATACAAGAACAAATTCAACGTGATAAAGCCAAAGAGGCTTTAGAGAAAGATAAAGAAGAATTAAAAGTATTCAAACAACACATGAATACAGCCGGTGATATAACAAAATTAAAAAATGATCTTTATCATATTTCAACGATAATTGATCGTATGAGTTGTACAGAAACGATCATTAAAAGTAGCATTTTGAAACTTAAAGTATTTAAGGCGCTTGTATCAAATGAAAATTCAGAAAAGAAGATTTACTATATTAAGGAAATATTATTATTAATACGATCACTATTACAAAAAAGAGATGAACATAATAAATTAAGTATAAGCGATAAGGACCAGAGATATATTTCAAAATTATTACACCTTTACGGATTTAAAGATATTGCCCAAAAAAATAATCTTCCCTTGGATGAATCTTACAAAGAGGAGTATCATCACAATTTCATTCGTTTCCAAATGGAACATTTAGGAGCAGATCTTATAATCGGTAATAGTGAACCATTTGATCCAGACGTAAATTTCGCACCAGATAAATGGCAAGTTGAATTTATAGAAGCAATTCGCCACAATGAATCGGCATTAGTCGTGGCACCAACATCAAGTGGGAAAACGTTTGCTAGTTATTACTGTATGAAACGAGTTTTGCAATATTCTGCTGATGGTATTGTAATTTATGTAGCACCTACAAAAGCTTTGGTTAATCAGGTGGCTGCTACAATTACTTATCGGTTTAAAAATTCTAAATTACCTGATGATGGAATATCTATTGTTGGTGTATTTACAAGAGACTATAACGTTAATGCAATGACTTCACGTATA